TTCCCTTCTCCGTCTTGTTGAGAGGCACTCCGTACTTGTTGTTCGCTTTGAAGTCCGCCTTCTGATCCTTGATGTATATCACTGTGTCGAGCGCCTCCAGCTGGTGGATGCTCAGCAGTATTGGCGTCTTTGACTTCGGCAACCTCTGGAAGCGTAGGTTCACGTCAGCTCCAGCAAGTCCAGCCGTCACCTCTTGTTCTCCTTCTGCCATGACCGGCGCGCTATCGTTCACGCCTCGGAAGCGCATGGCTGATCCTCTCATCCGCGTGGTGACTCTGCCGTCCTCTGTATAGCCGTCCAGTGATACTGAACCTCCACATCCACGTAGGCACGCAGTGTCCAGTACAGCATGTCCATCTGGAATAAGTCCTTTTCGTACTGCGTAGGCTTCAATTTCCCCCAGCTCCTCGCAAGGTTGCTGCCGCCCAATTCCCTCTGGAGCGTAGTTGGTTCCAGCTCGACGTTGCGTCCACAACCATGTCGGTCGCACTCCAATCGGTAAGCGCTCGCAAGTACTCCTTACGATGTCACGAAGCTCCGAGGTCCTGTCCCGGGCTGCTTGGTATAGATCGTATGCCATATTCCTGAAACCGTTCGGTGCCATCTCCATGGTGATGTGCATGAGCTGCTGGAAACGATGTAAGGCCCAGTCCAAACAGAAATCCATAGTCCCTGTAGGCCGCTTCCATGTTCTCGCAGCTTACCCACAATGCTGCGATCTGATCTGCACGTTCTCGTATATTTTGTAGGTCGGTCTCTGTGTTGTCATCTTCGAGGTAGTCTGTACTTGGTCTACTGGGATCCGTCCTCGACCACGTCCCTGGTGTAGGTCTGCTCGTTGAGCTCACTGGAGTGCTCAGGGGTTCGTCAGATTCTTGTGTTTGATGCTCTCCAGGTACTGGGTATGGTTCGTGTACCTGGTCGATCCTCTCTTGGAAGTTCGGCTGGTCTCCTGCTGCTGATACCGCGTAGGTGTTCACGATCTGCTCCTCGGTGTCGATTCTCACCTTCGTCAGACTCGTGATCTCCTCCATCGCCACGTCTATGCTTGCCAGCTGGTCGCTAACAATCTGTATGGCGGTCATGTCCATCGAGCTGTCTGCCATCAGCAGCTTGACCGCGGTCGCCATTGCGAATCCAGCTCGTCGTAGAAAACCTCCAGGTCGTCCGCGAAAGCTTCGCCCTCCACGTCCGCCTCCTCGTCCTCCACGTTGTAGCGTACTGGATCCACTCGCTGGTGACCTTGTCTTTTCGCACTCGGGGTCACCCTTCCAGTGGCCCTTCTTGTGGCACGCGTTGCACTTCGTGCGTGCCTTGATCTGCTTCAGCTTATCCTCAGCCTCTTTGCTGTCCATCTTGATGGAGCCCTGCTTGTTGATGTTGGCCTTCCAGCCTCTATTCGACTTGCTCTGAGCAAGCCGCTCCCGGGCCAGCTTGTAGTTGGGCTTGTGGTTGCGCCGTCTAGCTTTCCAGCCAAGACGTTGAGCCTCCGTCGCCAGGGTGTCGCACTCCTCCTGGCTGATCTCGTCCGGGTCTGCGTCATCAATCACTCCCTCGAACTCGTCGATGTCCGCTGCAAGTGCGTCGTAGTCCTCATCACTCGGCAAAACGTCTTCATCGCGCGGTGGACATTCATCTCCGAGTAGAGCTTCATCCTCTTCGTCGTCGTAGTCCACCGGGTAGGCTCCGCATCGTCCATGTCCACGATCATCTCGGCCTGTGCTGTTCAGCTGTATCAGCATGGCTGCCGTCACGTCGTCCCATATGTATTCGTTGTTGCATTGGCCAAGGATTGCCTTGTGCTCTTGCGTGCTGATGTTCGCTAGTTTCAATTGAAAGTATGTCCGTAGGTCCTCGCTGACTGTCGTGTTCGTTGAAAGTGACTTGAGCCGCTCGTACTCCGTCTCTCGTCTCGATATGTAGTCCTGCACAGACTCCGTTCGATTGCGAAAACCTCGGAAGAAATGCTCCTCGAACGCTTGCTGCTTCTGTAGTGGTGCGATTCTTTCGCACGCTTGTCGCACTGTAGTTACCGCTAGTTTGACTGCAGCAAGTGGGTCATTACCTGCTTCGTCCAAAACTGCTTGCGTACTGATCTCAACCTTCTTTCGTGTGAGTGTCCACGCCCGTCCATTCAGAGAGTTCTTGAGCATGATCGCATAGAACTTCTTGATCTTCTCCTCGCTCGCGTGATAGCCGAATATCTTGCGCTCCTCGAACTCCTCTCCGTAGGATGGGTCGCCGTTGTAGTGTGCAACGCCCTCTTTGTCCACGAAGAGGGGGCCGTCATCGAACTGCTGCTGCTGTCTGGACGTCATCTTGATGACTGTGATGCTACTGAGCTTGTTGCCGATGTAGTAGCTGTCTAGATCGTTGCTGTAGTTCTGCTGCTCGCCCGGGATGTTGTTGAAATCTCGATCTCCGTCCAAGCTGTTGCAGGTAATGATTTTGAGCGTTTTGTCGATCACCGTAATCTGTTGATGGGCGCAGTGGTTAAGCACCGCGAGGATGCAATTGAGCGCCATCATATATGTCTGCAAGGCCACTCTGTATGTAATCCTCGTACCGTGGACTGATTCAGCTCCCGCTACCATTGTAATTAATGATCCAAATCTCTCCACCCACAACCTCTTGATGCAAGAAGAAGACAGGCAGATGATAGGATGTCTTATACCGAATCAAACTCTGCGTTCGATAGGTGCGCCCACCCTCCCGCCTCAGCCGGGCGGCTTGAGCCACACATGGCAATAGTAAACAAGAGAGTGCAAACATGAGCGAGCGAGAGCAATAACATAGATCATTCACAGCATCACCCTATAACTCACATCCTTGCTAATATAACTGTCACGACCTCAGCGGTAGGTCGTTGGACGCGTCGTAGCGTAGACACGGGCGGCCCAAAAAGCTCTGAGCAGGCTTCCTGGGCCGACGCGCCGGCGGGCGCCTCCATCTGACGGACGAGGCCGCGAACGCGTCGAAGAAGAAGGTTGTCCATGTCCGAGAGGCGCTCTGGCGTGCGCTGCGGTGCGATGTAGCCCCCAAGCAGGTTGAGGCACTCCACGGTGCCCCGAGTACGCTCCTCTATGGACTGAGTACGGTGTATGCGTGCCCGAACCGAACGGGAAAGTCCAGGCGGAGGTGGGGGGGGGGGGGAACTGGCGCAGCAGGTACCGCAAAGGGCAACATCCCGTCGCCGAGAGGTGGGCCATCGCCAGGCCGACAAAACTGGCTCTCGAGAAACGGCGGTCGGGTCGAGCGACCTCCCGACCGCTGGCCCCAGTTCACCCCTGTCCCTTCTTGCCAGAAGAGGCGCTCTTCTCGCCGCGCGCCTTCCTCCGCTGATTCTGGATCTCGGTCTCCTTCGTGAGCTGCTCGGTCGTGTACTTGGCGAGGCCTGGGGGGGGGCTACCACGCCGCGGCAGGCACTCTGCTTCGAGCGGCCGATGTAGTGCTCGACCCCCTCTATCCTCATGCTGCCCATCGTCTCCCCCGCCAGCTGGTAGGTACGCCCCGCCACCTCCATGCAGGCCAGGTTCGAGCAGTCGACCCTGTCATACGTCTGCGCGATCTCAATGGAGAGCCCCAGGAGGTCGTGGAGACGGGCGGCCGCCGAGTCTGTCGTGCAGCCGCTCTCGATCATCCACTTGGTCTGGCGGCCGTCGGGGCTGCCGCCATGCTCGATCATGTACTCGCACAGCCACTGGTAAGTGCGCTCGCCCGACAGCGGGAAGTCGTCTAAGGCCTCCTGATGCGTCTGGCTCACCGACTCGCGGAAGTCTCGGTGCCGCCGACCTTCCCGCGTGCGCGTCAAAGCACCCAGCAGGCGGGCGTCGTCATCTCCTCCGTCAGTGGCACGCGCGATAGAGGAGGTCGGCACCAACTCCATGGGCACGATGACGCCCGACGAGAGGCCATGAAGGGCACTCTCGCCCCACAGCAGATTTCCGACGCAAGGTGTGATCTCGTCACCCTTCTGGGTCTCGCCCGTCACCGACTGCGCCGTAATCCAGCTCATGCCCGCCGGCGGTGCCATGCGGTGGTAGAAGCCAGGAACGTCCCCAAAGCTGGCCGTCGTTCCGCAGCCCAGCACCTCGGCGTACTGCATGTAGTACAGTGGCTCCGAGACGGCAGGATCTGCATCCCTGGCGGCGCGCCTGGCAGTGCGCTCCAGCCGCAGCGGCTCCGCCTCCGTTGGGAAGGCACGGAAGCGGTGCACCCGTCCCGCGGGCCGCTGGCGAGCTGGTGTGTCGTTAAACGTCAGCGACGCCATGTCAGGACCATCGCCGTCGGCTCCGCTGGCGAGCTCCTCCTCGTAGACGTCACCGTCTGGCATCAACACGCCCGTGAGCGGTAAACCGATGGTGTGCCCGTTGAACGAGCCCGCGTCCGCGCTGAGACGGACTTGGTCCTCCTGCAGCTGCTGCACGCGCCCCGCGGGCGTCCCCACCTCCCCGTAGAGCCGAGCGAGGTCCGCCAAGCAACCCGAGAGATGGCGAGCGCAGGCGAGCGCCCGCTCCGCCTCGCGCGCCGCTGCCTCTGCCGCCGGCGCGGAGGACGGCTGTCCAGGGGGGCCCCCGCCGCCGCCGCGGCGCACAAGCCCAGGCCACCAGGCGTCCAAGACACAGAGGGCATCAATGGCGGCCCACGCGGGAACTGCGGGAACTCTGGGAACGCTGATCCGCATAGAAGAATACAGGTGCTCCCTGGAGGTAAAAGGCTTGAGCGAAATAGAACGGACTCTGTGCTGCACACCCTACACGTTTGCAGGACAAGTCTCATCATCATCATCATCATCATCATCATCATCATCATCATCATCATCATCATCATCATCATCATCATCATCATCATCATCAGCATCATCATCATCATCATCATCATCATCATCATCATCATCATCATCATCATCATCAACATCAGCATCACCATCAACATCAACGTCATCATCACCTCCTTTTCGCTGGAACCCCTTTTGGGTCAACCAGAATCTGGGGGCGGGCCTCCACTGTGATCAGCTCGTCCGGGCCAGGCCGGCTGTCGCTTTCGACGCGCTGCAGCTCCGCCAGGGCCTCCTTCCAGGGCGAGGCCCAGGGGAGAAAGTGCGAAAGGGGTTCTCGGCAGCCCTCGCGCCATCTGAGATCGACTACACCAGGGATTCGGTCGGGCATGCCCCCCTACAGGCGGATTTTCGATGAAAAAACTTGCAAACAAATACCCCAAAAAGATCAAAAATAGTAAACAAATCGCCCCCAGAGTATTTTTTTGATTCTTTTTGAATACTCCTCCTGTAGAGGGACGTGCCCGACTTAATACTAAAAGAAAAAACGCCATAAACATAAACTGTTGGCGCTCCGCGCGGATTTCTTGGATCTGCGCTGGGACCCCCTGGTGGCGCCTCCGGCGCCGCCCCTGGCGCGCTCCGCGCGCCAGGGAGGGGGGTCCAGCGCAGATCCAAGAAATCCGCGCGGAGCGCCAACAGTTTATGTTTACAGCGTTTTTTTCTCCTTCGATACACGCAAGAGTGACCCTAGGCAGGAGGGACTTTTGGTGCGCGGCTTCAGGGGACCGCGGGGGGGCCAAATTCAAGCGCGCCAGCCAATGCTGGGGCGGATCCTGCATGCCCGCACCAAAGGTCACTCCGGCAAAAGGTCACTCTTACGTGTAGTCGATCTGAGAAACTGTGTGCGGCTTCGGAAAGGGCGTGCCGGGCTTCTCAGGAGGCGCGAGGGCTTCTGAGAAGCCCCGCCGCCTTCTGGGAAGGCCTGCCCACTCTTGCGGTCGATAATCTTTGCTCATAGCGTGTCGCGGCGGCGGCCCGCGCGACACACTATGCCTTGCGAGATGGACAGCGTGTCGCTCCGCTCCGCGGGGCGGGAGGCTCGGGAAAGCTCAGCGCGTGGATGCCTGGGGAACGCGAAGTGGATAGCGTGTCGCGCCGAGGCGTGGTGGGCCAGAACCGGTGGAGCGACACGCTGTCCAGAAGTTCCCGACCGTACAGTCATCGTGCTACCATGAGGAACGCAGACTAAGGAGCCTTTCTGGCCACGGCGGGCCTACGCCGCAACCAGGCTCCACGACACAAAACTTAGCAACGGCCCGAGAACCCGAGGCCCCCCTGAGCCCACGGCGGACCTCATGTCAGCGTCTTGACCGAACTTCTAGAAGAAGAAAACATGACATAAACATAACCTTCTGGCGCTCCGCGCGGGTTTCTTGGATCTGCGCTGGACCCCCCGCCCTGGCGCGCGGAGCGCGCCAGGGGCTGCGCCGGAGGCGCCGCCAGGGGGTCCCAGCGCAGGTCCAAGAGATCCGCGCGGAGCGCCAAACGTTTATCTTTATGGTTCATGGCGTTTTCTCCTCCCCACTGGGCTCGCCGCCGACTCCTGCACGTCGCCCATCTCATTCAGGACCCGTGCGCGGCGCAGGCGCGTCTGCAGCACGTCCCCGTGGAGCCCGTCGGGGTGCCTCTCCTGGGCGGCGCGGGGCGGGCGCCGCGGGGGGTCGCCGTGAGCGAGAGCACGGCGGCCTGCGTCATTGCACCGGCCTTGCAGACGTGCTTTAGCGGATTTGCGCGTGGATGTCCCCCGGTGCAGCGCCCCGAAATGGCGAGCGGAAACCGACGTGAATCTCAGGTGGATTTTTTAATTCTCATTCCTGGCCAGAACAAATCCGCGCGAAACTCACCTCGAAATCCAGAAGGAAATTCTCCAGGACACTCCGGGTTCATCCTGTCGTCTTCCCACCGAAATCCACTCTGCGATGTTGGCGCCATGACCTGTGTGGAGCAACCTGGCGGCGAGACGGTGCGGGCTTTCTCTAGGAGGAGGAAGAGGAGGATGAGGAGGACACCGAAAACTTACCGGAAGGCCAGAGGGCTCCTGAGAAGCCCCGCCGCCTTCTGAGACGGCCTTCTCCTTCTCCTTCTCGCTTCCCCCCCTCGTTCGCCGCCGAGCGACCGCGTGGGCCAGGATCCAAACGACACCACCCCACCTACGTACGACCCAGCGATGCTGCAAGTTTAGGCACGTGCTCACCTACGACCACCTACGACACCACACACCACCTACGATCCTCCTACGATCCAGCGGATCGTAGGTGGGGTGGTGTCGACTGGGTTCTTGGTCGATCACGAGGTCTCAAGACTGCGAACGTACAACTCGGGAAGGAAGCCTGGTCCCCGGGGCAAAGGCCCAGACCTCCTGGAGATCACCCTGCGAAAGAACCACAACGGTCCGAGTTCTGGGATCAGAAAACGTAAAGGAAAAGACACCACCTACCACTACGGCATTTTCGTGTCGTGTCGACCCTGGCGTCGCTTCCTGACGCCGCGGGGATCGTTTAACCTTGAACGATCGGCCGTTTCAGAAACGCAAGATCGATCAACGATGGGCCGATTCAGGGCCGCTGGCGGCGTTCAAACTTGAACGCCGACGGCGGGGTAGCTGCCGGTCGACATGACGCGAACCTACCCTACCTCTCCATAATTGAACCGACTGGATTCGCCGCGAAGTTCCGGTCAGAACGCTCCCCCTGGAGAGGTCCGGGGAGCAGCGGCATCGGTGCCTCTTATCCCCCCCGGGCTGCGGCAGGTTCGTACCGTGACGACCTGCGCGGTGGTTGCTGACATCGCGTGGTACAATCGGGCTGCTGAAATAAGGAACGAAACATAAGGAACGAAGAACGCCTGCGTGCACGAGGAAGGCCCGAGGAACAGCCACAGAACGACCTAAGGAACATCGGGCCCCTTCCGAACCCGAACCGTTCCTCATTTCAGCGTCTTGGCTGTATCGTCCAACCTGGAACGATCACGGCCTCCCGATCACGCGCATCGTCCGCTTCCAAGCCACCAGCGGCCCTCAGCCTTGAGAGCGCCAGCGCGGGGCGGTTGCTGCGCCCGCCCTGGGGACGGACAGGGGTGGAGCCCCCGAAAATCGATAGAGAGGGACAAGGCCAACTCCGCTCAAAATTGGCTCCCGAACCCCTCGCGGGATCCATCTGGCGCAGTTTTTCACCCTGGATGCGTTCGTCCCTAGAGCACGAAAGCGGCCCCTGGGGACCAGACGAGCCAAGACTAAGACACCTTCTCGAACCCAGAACGTCGAACCTCTTCCCGCCCTTCGTGCTGGCCAGGACCAGTGCTAGGCCACCTCCTGAGCATCGTGGTCGTCTCGGGGCGGAGGGCTGGACATATGCGCTCGTGTTCCCCTCCTAGGGCCCCTCTTGGAGCCCGGTTGGGCCACCTTGCGAGATTCTTCGGCCGTCTTGGGGCCCCGTGGGGGCGTCCCTGGGCCGACTGGGTCTCAGGGAGCCCTCCAGGAGGGCATTCTGGGAAGGTCTTGGTCGTCAGCGTCGGCGTCGTCGTCCTCAGCGTCGGCGCCGGCGTCGTCGCGTCGCCGCCGTCGCCGTCGTCGTCGGCGTCGCAGGAGGGCCTCCGACCTGCGGAGCGCCCCCCTGCGAGGGCCGTTCACCTCGCCCTGCGCCCCCCCCTCGCTGCGCGCCGCCGCCCTCCTCGAGGCAGCCCAGCAGCGCATCCATGAGGTTCCTCGCCTCGCCCGCCCTGCCTGGGAGGGCAGCAGCCCCTGACATGCCTGCGCCCCGACAAAAAATCGGGGCGGGCATTTTTTGGCCGTCTGGGGCTCCTGAACTCTCGACCACTCCATACCTCTGGCGTCTCGAGAAACTCTAGGCGGAGTTTTTTCGCAAATCTCGCCCTCTGGGAGCCCTCACCAGGCCGCAAGGCCGTCAACAAAACGACTCAGGATGAGAAGCCGGTCCAAGGGAAAGGGTCGAGACTCCTGGGGACTCCGTGCTCAGAACAGCAGAACATCGCATGTCTGGGGAGCCACCTTCAAAACGAACACCCACTGCGGGTGAGGCCCTTTTTGAACGGTGAGGGCATCGGAGAAGGAACCCTTGGATGAGGAATCCAGGGTCTGGACGCTGGTGGAACACCAATCAAGGCTTGGCCATGGATATCGCCGCCGCCCTCGTCGAATAAGGGGTCCTCCAAGATCTGATGCCTCCTGGGTGCACTCCTTAACGAACGTCCCCACCGTAAATGCAACTCGGGCCCGACAAGGCAAGACTGCCCATCAAACGCCCAGGACCGATCATCACGGAGACGCCAGTTACAGGAGTTGGGGAGTGATGTCTCTCCCTTCCCCGAGATCCGACGTGGCGAAACACATGGACCATCGCCAAAAGTCACGGCTGGAGCCCCAGACCCCATCTTTCTGCCGCATTTTTCGAGGGGGATCGGCGAGGGCCCCCGGGGCCCGAAGCCAGGCGAAGCCCGTCGGTGTGAAAGACAGGTGAGCGACGAGACGGCACGGGCCTCACGAGAGATGACATAACGACAGGTTCGTGTCGTGCCGACCCCAGCGTTGGTTTTTGACACCGCAGGGATCGTTCAACCTTGAACGATCGGCCGCTGCCGCAACGTCCAATCGTTCAACATCGATCGATTCTGGGTCGCAGGCGGCGTTCAACCTTGAACGCCCGCGCTGGGGTCGCCGCCGGTCGACACGACGCAAACCTACCGTACGAGAGATGACATAACGACATTGCACAGTGGCTCACGCAGGCCGCCAGCGCGGAACGCTGCATCGGAGACGAGGACGCTCACGCGCGACCTGAATTACGCGGGCAGCGTGCGCGCCAATGTCGGCGCAAACGACCCAGTTTTTTTGAAGGGGAACGGGAACACACAAATAAATACACACAAATAAAAATATCCCCCATATTTTCCCATATTTTCTGGGTTTCTGTCTTCCCCCACACTTCCCATATTTTCCCATATTTTCTGGGGAATGGAGGATTAATTGTGTCTGTGTGTTTCTTTTCCTCCTGATTTTTTGACGCCGCTCAAGTAGTGCCAGGATCTCAAGGGAGTCGGGGAGGTTCAGTATTCCCCTCGGCAGCCTGCGACGAGAAGCAGCTGCGCCAGTTGCCAGTAGGCCTCCTGTGAGCATCTCTTCACCGTCGTCGTCGTCCTCCTCCTCCTCGTCAGCTTCTTCCCCCCACGCGTGGCCTGGGCACCACTGGCCGATTTACCCCTCTAGATGGGGATCTAGGCTTTTCCACTCGGGTTTCGAGGGGCCTATCCCCAACTGGAGTGGTGTATGGAGGGGCTGAAGTACCATGGCGCGGTGGTGAAACACGTAGACATAGACTTGTGGAGGCACGCTCAGACCATCGAAAGCTTATGTTCATGCTGTTGTTTTACAGGAGCCCATGGACACACACACAGACACACAGACACACACACACAAACACACACACAGACACACACACAAACACACACACAAACACACACACACGCACACACGCACACACAAACACACACACACACACAAATGGATAGACACAAGTCCCAGGATTCCCCTTATCGTTTCCCATACTTTCGAGGTTTTCGTCTGCCCCCCACTTCCCATGTTCTCCCATCTCTTCCTGAAGGCCGACGATGACTTGTGTCTGTGTGTGTTTTCCCCTCCTGCTTTTTGTTCATCGTAGTGGGGCAGATCTGCGACACCCCGACTTTAGATTTGCGCGGTCCCTGGAAGCCCCGCCCCCTGTCCCCCGGGACCCGCTCTCTTCCTCCCGAGTCGCACTGGGGCCCACCGTGTGGAGGCCACCGAGAAGCCGAAACCGATGAAAAGCCTCCCGGACCCCCTCGAGTCATGAACAAATCACGACGGGAGGTTTTTTTGTTGGTTGCTATTTTCGGCCTTAGGGACCCTTACTGGACCTCGGCACCGTCAAAAAACTACTCGGGATGAAACACTGGCCCCGGGTCATGGGTCCGGACCTCTGGGGGTCGCGCCATAACAAAAAATCATGACGTCGGGGGTCTGGGTGCCCGTCCTGATTCTTTCGCGACGCGAGCACTTCCCAGACCCGACGTCATGTTTTTTTCATGACGCGACCCCCAGGGGTCCGGACGCATGACCCGGGACCGGTGTTTCATCCCGAGTCGTTCTTTGACGGTCCCGAGGTCCGGTAAGGGCCCCCCTGAAGCCGAAAATACCGAAAAACCTCTTGCCGTGATGTTTTCATGACTCGAGGTGGTCTGGGTTCTTGGGGCGAAGCGATACTGATCCTGCGTGTCCGCGTGCGCCAACCCCAGGGCCTTCTCCAGCGCGAGCCGCGCCTGCTGCAGCAGCTCCTCCCGAGGCGGCACCGCCCGGAAATCTGGCCCCGGCCAGAGGCGGCCACCTCTCCCCCCGAGGCGCCCCGATATCGGGGCTCCTGCAGACCCTTTCCGGCCAGGGGCCTTTACCGGGCCTCGCGGGCCGTCTAGAAACGACTCGGGATGAAAAGCCGGTCCCGGGGAAGGGGTCCAGACCTCTGGGGATCGACGCTGTAACAAAAATCACGACGTCGATCTGGGGTCTGGGTCCGACCCTGAGATCCTGGCGCTGCAACTTTTTCACGCCGGGCGTTTGCGCCGATGTCTTTTCAATTTTCGGCCTCTCGAGGCCCTTGCCGGGCCTCGGGAGCGTCTGAGACACTGGTTCAGCTGGGGAGGTTCCGGGACATCCGATGCCTTGAGTTTTTCACTACGGGGCCCCCAAAGGTCTGGACCCCTTCCACGCCACCGGTTTGTCATCCTAGGAGTCGTTTTTTGACGGCCCCGAGGCCCGGTAAATGCCCCCAGAGGCCGAAAGCATGGAAAAACTTCCCGTCGTGTTTTTTTCACTGTCTTGTGTTTCTCAACACGGGGCCCCAAAAGGTCTCCTTCTCCCCGATATGGCTCAAAAATACCCGGCAGACCCATGAGAGTCACCCGAGAAGCCCTTCGGAGGGCTTCAAGCAGCTCTCAAAAGGCCCTAAACAGGCCCCCTGAGAGGGGTTCAGAAACCGCACGCCCTTGCAACCCGAACGCCCCTGCCCCCACCCCACCACGCCCCTCTGGGTTGTGTTCCTGCCTTCCCCCCCGCCCCTCGCGGTTGTCTTCCTGCGCGGTGCCTGTGCGTGCCGCTTTAACCGTCAGAGCTCCTTCGCGACAACGCGTGGGTTCGGCATCGGGGGTAGCACGGCACGCACCATCAAACAGACCATGCGACATCAAGCAATCGTCGGGGCGCGGGGAGGAGGGGGAGCAAACCACACATGATATGGTATGCGTGTATAGTGAATGATGCTGACAAACCCAACATTGAGGCAGACAAAAAGGGCAGTCTTTGATTTTACTGTTCAAGTCTGGACGAGTCGCCTATCCCCAGCAAAGCGTCCAGAACTGATGCCTAAGGGAGTTATCGGGAGGAGGGTGTAAATAAGCACATAGTGAATCAGCAAGGCCAACAAGAGTTCATTTAGTCACCTCTGGGAACTTCGTGGAACCCTCTTGGGGCCCTTTTGGGGCCGCCGTGGGGCGCGATTCGCTTTTGCGTGCCGGAACTTGATGTTTTTCATAAGTCCAAGAACTGTGGTGACAATGGGGACTGGCGTTGCACGCAGCTGATTGCTAAGCTGGAGAGACCTGCGGCCACGCATCCTGTCTCGCTAAGTTGCCAACTTATTGCTCAGTGCAGCTTTATTGTCAGTCCTGTGTCGAAATCACCTTCAGGGGCAGAAAACATGAAAGCATTGGCCGTCGCGATTTTTTGGGGCGACGCCCAGACCTGAGGGCTCTCCATCTCTCCTCCCCTGCCCTCGGAAGACAGCGGCGACGTCGCCCTGAGTCGCCCTCCGCCTTCGGAGGGTGACGGCGAGGGCGAATCGAGCCTCGATCCTCCAACCGCACTTCTCCAACCTCGATCATCTATCCTCCAGCTTCGATTACCGAATCACGACCTCGAAGCAGGCTTGAAGGCCCAGTGCCCTCTCTACCTCAACCTGGCTAACCCTGCAGCGCTCCTCAAGAGCCCCTCGGAGCCACTTGAAGCCGCCGCTCCAAGCGATTCCAGCCTGCTTGCCCACTGCCGACACCAACAGACATCTGCCAGCCTAGAGCCAACACAAAGAGAAGAAGCTGCTTGCTTGTAACCGACACACAAGGGACTGTCACTGCAATGGTCCCGCAACTGCACCACAACTGCACCACAATGGGCCGCGCAGGCGCCAACTGCACCACAACTGCACCACTAGTGCCCCGCCAATCCTCCATGAGGCACTCTCGACTTCCTGCTTGCGTTCTGTGCTCGCAGCTGTATGACAGCCTTTGCTTTCGAATTGCGTCGACTCTCGAATCCCCGACCCTCGACCCTCGATCGCTCGACCCTCGCATCCTCGATCCTCGAGGTTCCTGCCTCGATCCTCCATCCCTCGCTCGTTGAGCCCTCGATCCTCGGTCCCTTGATCCTCGATCCCTCGACCGTTGACACCTCGAGACACGGTCCTTCTATCCTCGACCCTTCGAACCTCGGCATGCAGGCTCCTTCTGCTGCCGACGTCCTCCCGGTGCTTGCGCCTCCCTCCTCGTCCTCGTCCTCGTCGTCCTCGTCGTCGTCGTCGTCGTCGTCGTCCTCCTCCTCCTCCTCCTCGTATTGGCTATTGCAGTGCCGGCAACACGGCAACGAAGTCCCGCCGAAGAACGAGAGGCATCGAGCAGCGCCCGCCGCCAAAAAAACAGATGCGAGGGATCGAGGATCGAGGGATCAAGAGCCGAGAGCGGAGGTATCGACATTCGGGGATCGAGGTTCGCGTGTCGAGGTTCGAGCGTCGAGGTTCCAAGATTGATCATCGAAGATTTCTGGATCCAGGATTCGATGATCTAGGCTCGAGGGATCGAGGGATCGAGTATCGATGGTTCGAGGATCGAGGGATCGAGGCTCGAAGATTAAGGATCGAGAGTCGAGCATCGAGGATCGAGGTTGGAGGATCGAGGGTCGAGAATCGAGGTTGGAGAATCGCGGTTGGGCAATCGAGAGATTGGAGGATAAAGGGTCGGAGTTGGAGGATCGAGGTTGGAGAAGTGCGGTTGGAGGATCGAGGCTCGATTCGCCGTCGCCGTCGCCCTCCGAAGGTGAAGGGCGACGTGGGGCGACGTCGCCGCTGTCCTCCGAGGGCGGGAGAGGGAAGGTGGACAGCCCTCAGATCTGGCGCCGCCAAAAAACAGCGACGGTCAATCTGTCTGCGTTTTCTGCCTCTGGAGGCGATTCCCTTGGAACCGTTCCCTTGGGGCCCGAAGACGAGCGGAAACGCCCGTGGTGACAAAAATTGCAACGCCAAAATCTGAAGGTCCCGACCTCTGGACCACTTCCCCAGGACCTGTTTTTCATCCCGAGTCGTTTTTTGACGGCCCCGAGGCCTGGCAAAGGGCCCTGAGAGGCCGACAAGGATGAAGAACCTCCGTCTCGACTTTTCCGCGCTGTGAGAGAAGCACGACGTCGGAGTTCTTGGGCGCCCGGGTCCTCCGCGCCCTCGTACCTCTCGGTCCTGAGGGGCAGCGATAAAGAGGGGACTGGCATAAGGGGGGATACCTCGGCCTGTCATCGGCGATACGTCAAGCGGGGGCTGACTCGTTTTGGGGCGTTTTCATCGAGCGCTTTCGCCGGTTCTCGGTGGTTTTCCAGCCTTGGGATGCTCTATAGCAGCTGCGCCTCGCCGAGAGCGTTCCAGGGCCGCCGCAGGCCTGGGTTATGGCCCGAAAACCAACAAAGACTGGCTCAGGGGGGGAAGTATCGTGTCGGAATCGACCATACATCGCCCATAGATCGGCGATAGGCACCCGATAGCGAATCCGCACGTTCCGGGGCGGGGTGGGGCCATCAGACCCCTGTCGGCGATCAATGGGCGATTGGGGGTCGGTGCATCTCCCCCCTCTGCCCATCCGAGAGAACTTCGTTCTCCGTTGGACGGGTTGGTTCCCTGGTTGAACGGTCCGTTCCCAGGTGACCATTTCCAAAACGGAAGTTCGTCCCCCCCAGGCCCCCGACGTCTTGATTTTTCAGACCGTCGACCCCTCAAAGTCTCGACCCACTCCCTGGGACCGGCTCTTCATCCCGAGCCGTTTTTTAGCGGTCCCGAGGCCCGGCGAGGGCCCGCAGAGACCGAACATAACGAGAAACCTCCCGTCGTGATTTTTTCCTGACTCGAGGGGGTCTGGACAGAGACCCAACACAACGAGAAACCTCCCGTCGTGATTGTTTCATGACTCGAGGGGGTCTGGGCCCCCTGCAGGAGAGCCCAGAATCGAATCGATAAGTCGGATCGGCGATTGAAATCCGCCGACCCCTTGGGGTTCATCGGCGTGTGAGATGTTCCCCCTCCCCAAACCCCTCCCCCGGGAGCCCTGTCCGGTCGATTTGGAGGGGGGGGGGTCTACCCAAAATTCCAGGTTCCCCCGGAGGGGCCATCCGCTCCCGAAAATCGTGCAAAACCTCGCGAAAATCGTGCAAGGACTCCTCTGGTGGCCCCGAAATGGTTCCAGGACGCCCAACGAATGCTCCAAGACGCCCAAGGTGTCCCAAAGACGGGCTACGAAGCCTCCTCGACGGCAGAAGAGGTCGCCACGAGTCCCCCAGAGGCCTCCGAGATGCGTTCCAAGAGGGTCCCTAGACGCAAAAATTGGCCCATTCCCTTCGTGAAACGTATATTTTTCACAAGTTCGGCTTCTGGGTTTTCCGATGCTCCCAGACGGCCCAAGAGGCCCCCAAACCCGCTCCCAGACGGCCCACGAAGCCTCCAAGAGGGTCCCCCACATACCCCTCGAGGGCCCCAAGACGGGCCAACAGGCGTCCAAGACAACCCAAGAGGGCTCCGAAAACGGCCCCAAGAGCGCTCCACGAGCGCTCCGAGTGGCCTCCAAGAGAGCTCCACATGGTCCCAGACGGTCCAAGAGCGATCAAAAACATTGAAGACGGCCTCCAGACGGCTCAAGAGGCCTCCAAGACGCCCCAAGAGGCATCCAAGATGCGCCCCCAGAGGGCCACTAGACGCAAAAAATCGCCCGTTCCCTTCGTGAAACGTATATGTTTTCACACGTGCGCCTTTTGGGGTGCCCTCCGCTCCTGGACGGCCCCCGAGCCCCCCAAACCCGCTCCCAGACGGCCCAAGAAGCCTCCAAGAGGGTCCCCAACATAGCCCTAGAGGGCCCCAAGACGGGCCAACAGGCGTCCAAGACGGCCCAAGAGGGCTCCGAAAAAGCGCTCCAGGAGCGCTCCGAGTGGCCTCCAAGAAAGCTCCACATGGTCCCCGCGGGCCGTCGAACAAAGGCCCCCC